CTTAACTATTATGCTATCCAAAGGGATCCAAATATTTGGCCTGAACCTGAAAATTTTTTCCCCGAGAGGTTTGTTGGGAGCAGTATAGACATGCGTGGACGTGACTTCCAACTTTTACCATTTGGCTCAGGCAGAAGAAGTTGCCCTGCGATGCCGTTGGGGATAATCATTGTCCATCTTGTAGTAGCACAACTGGTGCATTGCTTTGATTGGGAGCTTCCAAATGGTATGGAGCCTTGTGATTTGGATGTTGAGGAGCACTTTGGATTAGCAACAAGCAGAGCAAATCCTTTAATGGCTATTCCTACTTATAGGCTAAACAATGCTTAATACAATATGGGTACGTACGTTGGCTGAAATAGTTGGCCTTGATTAAATAAGATCATAGTTGGGTAAGGTCTACGTACATTCTACCTTTCCTAGACTCCATTTGTGGGATTTCAATGGCTACGTTGTTGTTGAATATCATTTCACAAATAATGGAGTTGGTTGAAATAGTTGGCCTTAAACAAATAAGATTTGTGCAATGAAAACCGTTTATTTTCTGCTTACCTAAACTAAACTGAATGTCTCAGTGGCTTAACTCAGTTTTCAAGCAATTTGTAATATGAATTGTAGAAACAAAATCAATTCATTACATGTTATGATTAATGTCATTCATATTAGCTTCATTACATACAAGATAGAATGAGGTAACCACTCATTGAAACATTTCTACAAACTTGAAGTAAGGTTAGCAAGTAGCCATACTATATCACTGTTTATATCAAGAAAACATAAGTTCAATCTTTTCTTCATTCTGGTCTAAATTTTCATAAGGAAAATCCAAAAAAGTAACAAAACAACCAGCAATAAGCTTAGGAAATTCAACATCTAACATACATACATAAAAACGAATGACTTTTTATATGCACTTTTTTTACGTACGGATAGCTCATGCCAACTATATAGACATAACTTAAACTCGTTTTTACCAAAATAAATTACTATATAGACATAACTTAAACTCGTTTTTACCAAAATAAATTGTGAAAATGAAGAGAGAAAAATAGAAGAAAACCTGGAGTCAGGGTGAACAATCCATTCCCAAAGTCTCACATACATAGCACATTAGAAAATTAGTTAAAACTTCTTTCTTGTATTCATAAAAGTTATTCTCATTATTGATGTATAAACTACTTAATTTTGCATAATTGAGTGAAAAAGCTGTTGATTACTTAGCGGAAGGCTTACTCAAGCAAACTGGAGACTCTAATTTCAACATTAAACTTTAAAATCTCAAGTTAACTATTAACTAAAATAAATGTCTGAAAATGACTAACAACGTATAGATAAGCATCTTAAGACCTCAAAACATCTCAACAAAAGACAATATCGAAAGACTACTCAACTTTAACTATTTACGAAGCCTCTAAATACTACAATAGATGCCGGGAGAAGACCCACAACATCTTTACAAAATAGAAATATAAATGTGGAGCCCTTCGGAAAGCAAGGAGGCTCACCAAAGCTAGTTGGAGTGCAAATGTTGTCAACGAAGTGCTTGTTGATGACCCTGAAATCATGTATCTGGATTATAAATAAGATGTAGGTCGAATGACATCACTAAATTGAATGTACGAGCATGCAGGGAAAATTGAAACATAGATAACTGAACTGATAACATGGGAAGACAATATTCACCTCACCTCAACTCCCATATATTAAAGCAATAATAAGAGATTCAATATTAAAAATAGTAAATATCAACTCTAGAAGTATAAAAGTACATAAAGTTATTCTTTACTTTTATTTAGGAGATTCTCTAACCGACAATAATCATTATGAGTTATGTTATGATACAACGTTTCACCCACACTATCATAACTGTCTTATACCTTACTGGGTATTGAACACATCAACTAAGTAGATTCACTAAGCTATACTTAAAAGCAATAAGGAATCATCCAAAAAGTATGATCCCTTACCCATATCGACTACATTAGTTAAGTATCATTAGAACCAATGTCGCTAAAGGCTTTAGGGACATATACAAAGAGTGACAATTGCCACTAAAAATATATATTTAGCGGCAATTAAGAATTAAATGCTGCTAATGGTCATTTTTGTTGTAGTGTTACTTCCTGATGACTTACTTCAAAACTATACTTAATTACGAAAGAATTCTCAAACTGATTCAAAATGACCTCTTGAATTTTCCTCTTAAACTCACTTTAATTTAAAATGCAAATTAAGACATGTGATTAGAATATGAAGGATCTCTCAAGGATTAATGGAGCCTTTAGGAGCTAAGATGAAGAAGAAAACATAGTCACAATTCAAAGGAACTAGTCCAAAAAATGAAGCACAACAGGAAAAAGACGAGGCGACCTTGGCATACTGAGTGGTGCAGGGTGCTAGTTCCAAAACTACTGGACTAGCCAGGCCCCAAACTACTGGGCAATAGTTTGAGCACTATGGGTGGCGCTCCGCCTTACACTTTGCCCATAATTCTAATGAATTTTTCTACTTCGATTCGGGTTCTAACTCATCGAAAATCAAGTGATTTCTTCTAAACTCTTTTTGATTCACAAACCTACACAGATTCATAGAAATTTCATGTAATTCCCATCAAGAATCACAAATCATTCTCAAGATGCTCAACCCAAGAAACTCAAAACTCTCATTGTAAAGAATGAAACAACAATCAAGAACTACTCAAAAATCTCTTAACATAACGATTTTATGGACAAATTTAGATGCAAGGCGTTAGGACGAACAAGTCCATCGCTGTGTTAAGCCTTATATACCTGGAAAGAACAATGTTCTTTGCGAATTCCACAAATCTTAATGAACGCTAGAAACTTAGCCCTTTTCTCTTCTTCAAACCTCGCTCTAAATCCCTAAGTGTTAAGATGCGTGAAAAATGTCTTAGCGTGTGATTAAACCCTTAATTGGGTGAGTAACAACGTGTTTAATCCTAGTAAAAGGAAAACATAAAAATATCCTTTTCTCAAACTATGAAATGCTTTAACTAGTGAAGTTTTACTCAAACAAACATAACTATTTACTCTAAGCTCAAAAGTCAGATAAATGTTTGAGGTTTCACACTAACATCTAATGAACCATAAGCATTAGAAGGAATGAAATGGACCACACAGATCTATTTGAGTGATACTTAACTTTCCTCCAACTTCAAATTACAATTATTTTTTGTTCAAAAAATCAATTTTTTTTATTGAATCAGATCTATTTTTAAAAAATATTTTTCAATTTAAATTTTTCAATTTTTTTTACCCCACCCTCCACCCCCCAAAAAAAGTTCAAGTTTATTTCAAAAATTATTTTCTACTCAAGTTATATAGTTAAAGAAATTAAAGCAGCATTGGGTTATATTTAATCGAACCTGTCCATTTGTCACCACTAAAAAATAAAAATAAAAATAAAATTTCTTTTTAAAAAGTACTTTCAATTTCAAATTTTCATTTTTCATCCCCACCCTGACCCTGACCCCTACCCTACCCCACTACCAGCAGCCACCCCCACCCCTACCCCAACCCCCACTAACGCCCCCCCCCCCCCACAAAATAATTATTTTTAAAAGATATTTTCAATTTCAAAATTTTATTTTTTCACCCAGTACTACTTGCGACCCCATCCCCTCAAAATAAATTTAAGTTTATTTTAAAAAATATTTCTAATTTCTAATTTTTAGTTTTTACCCATCTCACCCCTACCCCACTCCCACCACACCACCCTCCCAAAAAAAGTTCAAGTTTATTTCAAAAATTATTTTCTACTCAAGTTATATAGTTAAAGAAATTAAAGCAGCATTGGGTTATATTTAATCGAACCTGTCCATTTGTCACCACTAATTACTGACTGGGAAACTAAGGAGGCAATCAAAGCAGAGAATAGGGAAAAGAATTACCTCTACAAGCTTCGGTTGGGTATGCAACAAAATTCCATAGTTGATTGCTAAAAAGAAAAAGAAATATATATTTTGTGTAGGAATATTTTTAAAGGCGCAAGGCCTTTTGAAAATATTAAGTAGACATAATTTAAAATGGACAATATCACATTGTCATATCAAAAATATCTTTGAATTAGCTTAAATAATTTTGCACAACTTTTAAAATTTGCCTAAAGTTCACTCGAGTTACATGATGAAATTAGCAAGAGATTTTGGTTGCTAGTTTATTGTAGGAATGTAAAGTATAGTTAAAAAAAAATGATCTAGCCTAGAGAATCGTTCTGAATAATGAATATTGAACACAATTCTTTTTTTATTGTGTATGCCTTGTATGAGTTATTTAATAATACTGGTGAGCGGTGATAGTAAGTCCGGGGTTATATTTCTTATATAGTTTTATCTTTTTTTTTCGAAACACTTTTGGCTTTTTTTTGGTGTTATTTTATAGATCATAGTAAGCGCCATCATGGTTCTTATACGGTAACAATACAGTCACTCTCAATCGATTATTACATAAAATATGACTTTTCTTCATTACAAAGCAACGAATTTTAACAATAAAGATATAATAAAAATTAACTATTAATCAAAAGAAAAATTGTATTGAAACCAAATAATACAATAAGCTAATTATCATCCAAACAAGCTATTAAAATTTGGTTGATATTCTTCTACTTTGAATATTCATCATATTGATGTCAACTAGTTAAGTGAACAACTCTTTACTCTAATATTTTTCGATTAAATTTAAGTACTTCTTTTGGTTTTTGAAAAACATTAGACTTAACGCAATAATTAGATGAAGTCAAACGAATAAAAAACTAAATATATGACGTTCCTTCAATTACTTCTCCAATATTTGTACGAGATTGTTTATGATACTCGTTTAGTCATAGGTTTGACAAAAAAAAAAGAACTTTCTTTTTATTATAATGTAACAAAATAAGAGTTAAATGATTTTCCAAATTTTTTTATAATAGAAAATGTCTTCTAGTGGGTGCACATACATTATTTTATAATTTTTTAGCGATTAATGTATTAGTACAATATATAATATAATACTTATATTATATATTGAGGTAAGAGAACCATTTTATTGATTTATGTATATGTAAACAACCTACACTTCAATTAGTTAAGTTACACTTCAATTAGTTAGTTACATAACAACTAGTTAGTTACACTTCAATTAGTTAGTTACATAACAACTTACATTTCCATTAGTTAGTTGTAGATAGTTAGTTAATTGAGTTAGTAATGTGTATATATATAGATATGCAAACTCATCTGAAAACTCACTTTACATTCATGGTTTTACACCATTCTCTATTAATATACATGTAAGAAGAAGTGTGATCCTCTTCTTCTTCACATCTTCTTCTTCTTCTGGTTCTTAATCTGCTTCTTCTTCAAGCTCCATCAATGGAGATATAGCCATACAATTCATGGTTCTTTTATTCAACATGGTATCAGAGCGGGTGTAGATCACTGTTCTTTTTTGTCAATTAAAGTTTCAAATCATATCTGAAGAAATCGAGTTCATCAATCGATTACTGCGCTTATCTCTGAAGCTCTTGTTCTGTTTTTTATCTTCTGTAATTGTTTCCTGTAAATCGATTTCATCATGGTTGAGATTACTTCTGGCCAATTTTCTACATCAGGAACAGGAGGGAACACCATCGATATTAGTAACCCTCTCTACATACATACATCTGACAATCCAAGTCTGATCTTAGTTCCAGCAGCTTTTGAAGGAATTGGTTATCGATCATGGCGACGAGGTGTAATGAGATCGTTGTCTGTGAAGAATAAATTAGGATTCATTACTGGAGAATTCAAACGCCCTTCTTCAACATATCCACAATATTGCCAATGGGAGAGATGTGATAACATGGTAATATCTTGGATCCTTAATTCTCTTAGCAAAGATATTGCAGACAGTGTTGAATATGTTTCTGATGCAGTAGAGTTATGGAAAGAGTTAGAAGATCGATATGATCAAACAAATGGTGCAAAATTGTTTCAAATCCAAAGGGATATCAATGATCTAAGTCAAGTAGTTCTTGATATCACTGTGTACTACACTAGGATGAAGAAACTCTGGGAAGAACTAAGTAATCTGAGCATCAAGAACCAATGCAGTTGTGCTTGTAGCTGTGGAGGTAAAGAGATTATGCATAAGGCTGAACAAGATCGAAGGTTGATTCAATTTTTAATGGGGCTTAATGAGGTCTATACTGTTATTAGAGGTAGTATTCTAATGATGAATCCACTACCATCCATGGCTCAAGCCTTTGCTTTACTCGTACAAGAAGAGAAACAAAGGGAGTTTAAACCACAAGGTCAGATGTTTGCTGAAGGAAGTTCAATGAATTCATCCGTACGTGTTGGTTCATCTAATTCATCATGTGGAAGATCAAACTCTAGTAATGCTGGTTCATCAACAGGAGGAAGATTTTTTAGAACAAACTATGCACCAAACAATTATCCTGCGAACAATAGGCCAAGGCCTTTCTGTGAACACTGCAAAAGATCAGGGCATATCATTGATAAGTGTTACAAATTACATGGTTATCCTAATCAAAACAACTCTTCTAGTGGACAAGGTGTTAATCAGCAAAGATACAATAATCAAAGGGTATATACTAGAGGTAAAGGAGTAGCAGCTAATGTTTTTGCAGATTCTTCAATGGGAAAAACTGATGCTCATACAACATGTAGTGCTAATCTCACCAATGAACAATGTGGACAACTTATTAACTTGTTACAACACCTTCAATTAGAACAACCTGAAAATACTAATTCTGAGGAACAAGCAACTTGTGGAGCTGCAAACTTTCCAGGTATGATAGCTTGCAACTCATCCATTGATTTTGATAAACTGTCGTGTGGATGTCTCAAATCAAGGACTGATTTATGGATACTAGATTCAAGAGCTACACATCACATGACCTTTGATGTCAGCCATCTCTCACATATTACTGATCTACCATATCCTCTTTTAGTTAAATTACCAAATGGATACAAAGTTAAAGTAACCAAAGTTGGAGATGTTAGAATCAATGACATAATCACATTGTTCAGGGTCCTTTTTATTCCTTCCTTTAAGTACAATTTGATTTCGATTAGTTCCTTGTCTCTACATCTCAATTGTACTGCCTCATTCTCTAACTCATCTTGTACCTTGCAGGGCCCTTCAATGAAGAGGCCTCTGGAGATTGGTAAAGAACAAGATGGATTGTACTTCCTTTGCTCAGATTGTTTAAAAAAGGATAGTCACTCAGCTTCACAGGTCTCATCTTCAATGGCTTGTTCTTCTCATAACAATAAGATAGGCTCTCAATGTAAATGTTTTTCTCATTCTTGTAGTACCATCTGTCATTCTTACAAGCCTTCATTCAATTCTCAAAATGTTGAATCAGCTGTAAAGGACACAATTCCTAATAACACAAATAATGTACTGGCTGGTGCTGTACCTCCTTTATCTCATGGTTCTTGTAGTGATCTGTTATGGCATTATAGCTTGGGCATGTGCCTTTTATAAAAATGAAAGGGATTACATCCATTCCTGTGAACTTTTCATCTAAACAGTCTTTTACTTGCAACATTTGCCCTATGGCCAGGCAAACTAGACTATCTTTTCCACCTAAGACTCATAATACATCAAAGGTTTTTGAGCTTCTGCATGTCGACTTATGGGGTCCTTATCATGTGTCCATTCATGACAATTTTAAATACTTTATTACACTGGTTGATGACTTTAGTAGAACTACTTGGACACATTTGTTGAGTTGTAAAAGTAATGCCTTACACATTGTAAAATCCTTTGTCAACATGGTAGAAAATCAGTTTAAGACAAGTGTTCAAACAATAAGATCAGATAATGGTCTTGAGTTTGTGAATCAAGAATTTGTCCTTTATTTTCAATCCAAAGGAATATTACATCAAAGATCTTGTCCTTATACACCACAACAAAATGGGGTAGTAGAGAGAAAACATAAGTATCTTTTAGAAACAGCTAGAGCTCTTCTTTTCCAATCCAAATTACCTACCAAGTATTGGGGGAATGCATACTTACTGCCACATATATAATCAATAGACTTCCTTCTACCTACCTTCACAACAAATGTCCTTTTACTATATT